CAACATTTTCGTGTCGTTATTTTCTGAAATTGAATACGCTCGATACTTTTATTTCGTTCGAAGAGGGCCAGAACCTATCGAAACTCAACTTTAAATAAACGTGTGATTTTTCTCCCGACGAACCACTGGTACCAAAATGAATATTCAACTTGAACAAACTTATATTTTTTGCACTATAAAATCGCAGCACCGGGCTGATACAACCTGCATAAAACATTATCCGGAGCAACAACGTTATTTTTCGAAGAAACGAACGAGCGTATCACGGTTCGATAGTTCCTCGTGAACGAAAACAAAAATGGTCGTTTCCGCTATTTTGGGCAATTTTACCCCCAATCAAATGAAGGTACGCGACTGTGCTCAGACGGCAGCAGGTTTCGAACAGATTATGCGCGTTCGACTGGAAACATTTAAACACAAGCCCGTAAACCCACCCCCCCGACGATTAATCACCAAAACAGCAGTCATCTGTAACCGTTTTCTCCACACTTCATTCCGCGTTTATCGTCGCAGTTTTTGCATGGTTGCACCACTTTTCATCGCCCGGGCGCGTAAACGCACCAATAGAAATCACCCAACGTGCTACGCTCGTCGGAATAGCCCAAAGGACACGAGCAATAACCGACAGCCTCGCATCCGGGGAAATTTATCAACGGTGATGCAACACAAAATTAACACGAATGAACATATCGCGATACTTTTGTTCTAATACTAGTTTACTCGATCGTAGATTTACATCGATTGGTAACACATTGACTGCCATGTCACCCTTTTGAGGAGTCAAAATAATTAATTCTCTAGATTAGATGTAAAAGAAAATAAAGCTAGGTGGGGCCCTTGAATTTTAACGAGTCTGTGAAAATTAATTCCATGACAAATGATGGGTATGCTAGTTTCCAATTGTCTGAAAACAAAATTTAATTTTAGGGGTTTGGTCTAGTTTTGGCAGTAAACGTGTTAAACCCATCAAATTGATAGTTTCCGGATAATAAAATTCTCTTTTAATGCAAATATTCTTCGTTTGAAATCGATGCAGATTGAATTCCCTGATAAAAATTTCGATTATTTTCTGGTCTCCTTGCTCCTTTGCAATTGTATAAGTTGTAAGAGGTTTGTAGATATTTTTAAATACAGAGGGCTAACTCGAACGTTCTTTCTGTGGAGTAGCTCGTCTATTTTTCTGGCGATAGGAACGCATTCCGCGCCATTGTGCAATGACAGTGGCGAAGGATTGTCGCGACACGGTTTCGGAATAAATAGAGACGCCTGCACGCCTCAAAATGTACAGGCGTTTTCCTGGCGTTGTCGTAGATTCTGCTACGTGGCTTCCTCCTCGTCGTCGACAACAATGCCCACCGGTGTACGGACTCTCGTCGAATGGAAGTTTGTTCTGCACACAATGGCGTATACACGGGGCGAAGCCTCGCGTGGCTGGAAAGCGGTTCACGCGTTCTGGATGGCTGCTACGAGGAATCTGCGTGGCACCGGGAGGATCGGAAACGGTAATCAGACGCTCCGAGGGCAAACATTTTTACGCCGTCGCGGTGAATCCGGAAGTGGATATTAAGGAAACGCTTACAGGCAAACCGGGACGCTCGTTGTCGGGGGGAAACGGACGAGTCGAAACTCTGACTCGACGAAAGTCTGCCGAGACATTTGCTAAATTAACCGGCTCTGGGTCTCGTTGGATAAGCGCGCACAATTGGCAAAGTAATTGGGGACTTTGGATCGCTGGATGCATAAATCAAGCGGACGAGAAACCGAGAAATAGGATTCGAAGAACTGTATCCGATAGGAGAGAATAATAATGGAGAAATGTTTTATTTTAGCGTAAGACAATTGTAAAGATTTGGAAAATGCAGTGGAATGTATGAAAATAGAAAATAATTCTTGTTGGAATGGATCTTCCATTATGAATGAATAATTATTAAGTCTGGGCTGGAGAAAAAATTGTAAAGATTTGGAAAATGCAGTTTATTAGTTCCGGTGGCTCGAGGGTGCAGGAAATTGGAACGCTTGAACGTTTTTTGCGCTTATGAAAATAAAAAATAATAAATAAATGAATAATTATTAGGTCTGGGTTGGAACACTTGTACGTTTCATGTGTTTATGAAAACTGTATAGAAATAGAGAATAGTTTGACTAACTTGTTGGAACGAATCCTCCCCTATTGTGGAATAAAATTCTCGTAGGATTAAGAACCTCGTTTTTGGAATGAGATCTCTTTTCAGAGTACTTAAGTCAATTGCTAGATAGGGCGCTGAAAACAACTTACCACCCTTTAACGAGGATACAGAGGGAAGGGGTTGACGTCGTGTCATCGCTACCCTCGTAATAATTATAAACGCAAGGGCGTCGGGAAAACCATTGAAACGATACAGAATCGAACAAGACAGCTTACACTTACGATCGACTTAAAGCACATCGAAAATTAAAAGTTGGAAATTTTCCAATCGAAGCAATTGTAAATATCTTGAATTAATTTTATGCATTCTTTAATTTATCAAAGATAAGAACCAATAATATATTTCTCTCTTACTCGATGTAATTATTAACCCTTAAGTGGATTATTGGGGCTCTGGAAGTTTAAACTAATATAATTATTTGAAAATATATGTAATCCTCCATTAATTCACTGTTTTTCAAGTACTTTAGAAATCAACATTAAGTAAAATAATTGTGTTGAGATTGAGAGTTCGCTTAAGGGTTAAATTCTCAAAAATCATTCACCAACCCCTATCAAGTGAATTACAATGGAAATAACAGTTTCCACTGAATATTTAGTAATGCATTATTAATATATTTCAATTGCTATCCTATAATTTATATATTCCCTGAGACACTTTGAAACTGGCGGTGGTTTCGAAGGAGCTGCCCGCGCGTATCAGGGGGCAATGTATTAATTCAAGGCAGTGAAAAAAGAAAGAATCGGCAAAGTTTCAGGCGAACGAGCGCGATAGGCAGGTGTCACGCCATCTCGACCCCCCGCCGCGACGATTACGACGATTACCGGTGGCTCTTGAGGGGCCCCGGAGGGGTGGGAATCGCCTCCGTTGACATTGCATCACGAAGCACTAACCACATTATTTATGCCACCTCGTAAAACTTGTGGCGTGCCTAAACACACTAGTCGTTGCCATCGCCCCCGTTTCCCTTCGCCCGGGGAAGGTTACACAGAACCGTAGGGAAAGGGTGGAGGGGCCACTGTTTGTGAAATCCACCACCTGCAGATAGTGGAATTGCTTGTATCAGCGATGGTTGAAGGAGACTAAACGTTACGCGATCCTGGCACGAGGCCAGAGTTCGGGTTAGAATTTGCGAGACGGAAAAGGACGTTGAACGTGGCAGGGTTGATACGAGGGTTGAAAATTTTCGCGGGACAGCGTTTGATTTTCCGGCAGTTTGGATTTTCGTTCCGCCGGTTATTATCGATCGCGCGGTTTGTTCGTCCCCGTACGTTAATTAGGGAAGATTATTAATTAAAACACCGTGAATAATAACGCTCGTTGATCCTCCGTGGACGCGAAATCTTTTTGCTTTCGATGAACAGTGGCGTTAACGAAGAAATAGCAGAGGGCGGTGTGAGTCGCGGGAACTTTTTCAATAGGTAACGTTGAAACGAAATTTTTTTAATAAAAGTTCTTGTTTAATAAGTTACGGACGGGGGGAACAGGCAAATAAAAGTTCCTGGATAACGTTTTTAAGAAACAAAAGCACTGCCGTTGCAAGAACAGATATTCCTCTTGGCCGGTTGCAAAGAACTTTTTAACAACTTTTTACATCCGTAATTTGTTTACTTCGAAAGTCCGAATAGTCGTCTCGAAGTTTCGATCGGGGGTTTTTTATCAACTTTCAAAATATAATTAAATTTGTATCTTTATTAACGATAATAAATGTTGATAAACTCGACGGAGACATAAATATGAAAAACCTGATACCGTTGGTAGTTTTAAAAATACAAGCTACCAACTGTAACGTACTATAAATAATTTTTTAACTATAAATTTTTTTACTACTATAAATTTGATATATACTATATATACTATACATTATAATAAATTTTTTTTTACTATAAATAACGTACTGTTAATAATAAATTGATTTATTTTACGAAACTTTTTCTTTGCTTTCATTTTAAAAACAGTTATTAAAGAGTAGCTATAGATTTTTATAATTGGAACACTTTGTACGCGTGCATTCGGTCTAAAATGTTGCATGCGTGTAATAATATGCAACTTGAGAGGGTTTCCATAATGTTTTAATGCACGAGCCCGTGTCGAGATATTTTTATTACGTGCGTGGACGTTTGACGAACGCGAGCACACTATAGAGATAGCTATTACTCGGTGAAAATTGATACGGTTTTATTTATGGATGCTGATTATTCCAGTCGCGTATCGATTGTGATACTTGTACAACTTTCATAATCAGAAATATGTTTCTTTTAATACACATTACTTGAAATATCACAGTGAACATCTTTACAGTTAGTTTTACATATAAAATTGTTAAAACTGTATATTAAATTTCTGTATATAAACGATTTTAGTATAAGTGACAAGGCTTGTATAGGAATTAAGATTTTTTACGAAATAGTTAGAAGATCCAACGTGAAATGTCGCATGTTTCTAATCACATTCTACTCGAAAGGAGCCACGTTTAACTTTCCGTGTCGGTATGCCCAGAGGGTTATGCTTTTCAAAGTATTTTTATTGCATGTTGGTTATCGGTCACCTCACGTGAATACTTTGCTTAATGCGAGTAAGAAATGCATAAAATGCTTCCTATCTGATACATTACGTTCGCGAACCGTCGAACCTGCGTTCCTGTTTATTGGTGCATTCGATTATTATTATTATTATCTGTAATATACGCTGAATTAAAATATTTCTTCCGCGCCTGGAAAGTCGATCGAAAACATTCGACGGCTCCTCGAACAATTCACGAGCGTATAAATAAAATTCCTGATAATTTATTATTTTTGTTTTATTTGTTTACAGTTGTCGTACTCGATGGAGCTGGATTACGACGTGGTGGGTGTACCGGGTGGCGCCGGAATGATGGCGCTGCTTCCTCCCAAAGTGAACGTGTCGGCCAGAGGCGAAGTACCAGTCACGTTACAAGTCTTCAGGATCAGATTACCCTGCTCGGGTCTCGTCAGCGCCGAAATTCCTCTAGCTTTGAGGTTGAACGTCACTGCCCCGCCAGGAACCAGATACAACGACACCATTTTAGTTTTCAAGAGGAACAAAATTTGCTTCAGAGGTGAGCGGAGCAGACTCCATACTTTCCACTCTATCGTCTCTTTGATCATTCGTAAAATCCAAACTGAGGTTGCTCCAAAAATTCCGTTCACCTTTCAGAATATTTCTACACATAACAAGGTTCATAGAAAGAATTATAGAAGGGGTAGTTGAAAGTTTCTTACAGTTTTTTAACTTTCATAAGAAATACGTAAGATACAAATTATCATATTTGAGGGTTGAGAAACTCTAATTTCACTGATTCGATTACTAAAAATAAATGTGTTACTAAAAATATGGGTTTGTCTATAACCAAAAGATTTAAAAAAAAATTGTGTTTGAAAGCGAAATGATTATTTTCGATCCATCCCGTTAAATCCTGCAGGAGGATATTCAGGTGTTCCGATTCTCATGACTGCCGGGGTCTGTGTCAATATCCGCCGACGAGCAACGGTAAAAAGAGCCATTTGCGCGGAATAATATCGCGGGGGAATTGTTTTCCGCGATCGTTTGTACTTTTGCGCACGCATTAACGACGCGTCGCGAAAAATCCGCTGGCAAACAGCGCGTCGACGCGTTCCCCAACACACAAGTATTCCAACGTCGCGTCGATAATTACTTGGTTTACGTAATCGCGAATTTAATTAGCACGTTCGCCCGGGATCGTTGAATGCCTTCGTTACGGTGGCGCGACGCGATTTCGACGTATTCGCGATTAAAACAGAGAGAAGCGCTCGTCCCGCGCGTCCCTTTCGAGTTCTATGCGCGATTTATGGCCCTTTGTGCCGTCCGCCGTCCGGCAACAGCATAATTTTCCCCGGGACAAAAATGTCCTCGATAATGTATTTGTGGAAATCGAGTGATTAAAGTTCGGTCGGGACGACCGACCAACAAATTACGTTCGATTACATCGCTCGTCATAAAGTGGTTTTCGGTTGGGAATTTTCGTCCTGCTGGTTTATTAATCCGCTCTAGGTAAAAGTAATGTCCTCCTATCGATGATTTGAATCCAATTACGTATTATGGCAGATCGCTGTTTGGATAATCCAATAACTCTGTCTCTGTCTCGTCGAGAAGTTTATTTCCGCGGAATTATTGATGGAGAATTCTCAATCCGTGGGAATCGAGCGCTAGGCGAATGGAAATTTTATTTAGATACTAATATTGTAACGTGTACTCGTGTATATCGTTTTCTTAAACAATTATCTTCAAAATTTGCTGTTTATGCATTTATGGGAAATTTTAATACTCAAAAAACTACAGAATGCATTTAATATGCAAAAATATAAGAAATATTTAAAGTAAGATACGAATTATTATATCTATGGGTTGAGACAACCCTCTACAAAGCTCCAATTTCATTAATTTTATTAATAAAAATATGAATTTGCATGAAGATCCGCAGTCTAGTTATCACTTTTGTAAACTGTTATATTCACGAAGGCTAAAAAACAGCTAAGTTTGCAGGATACTTAACAGAATACAGTAGCAAGAATTAAATTTGCGTCCCTCTAATTCGTAGCATTGCATAGTTTATTAAGTTTCAAAAAAAAGCTGTCTGCTAAATATGGAAAAAGTCGAAGCTTTTGGAATATTTATCAAAACCGGCAGCTCGTTAATCCAGCGAAGTTTCCGTCGTTCCGAAGCGTATAATTCCCGGAGACTGTCAAAGGAAAATGCTCGTAAGTTCTTCCGTAAGTAGTTTGCTAAATTTTGCAAACTTTTGACACGTACAAGAAACGTTCAGACGAAGCTCATGAAACGTCAGGTTCACGGAGACACCGGGAGAGCTTTCGCGAGTATATCTTGGAACAAGTTCATTCGACACGCGGAACTTCGACGATGCGTCTTCGATGGATGTCTCTCGGTATGAAAATTCAATTTTTTACCTTGCAGTTGTACGCCAAACTAGGACTATTTCTGTTTAAATTAATGCCAGTATGCTATGGAACGAGGAAAAAGCAGAGAGAATATTATCCGTGCGCCAAATTAAAAAAATCTTTTTCTAAATTGAAACTACTATGTAATTTATGGTCGTTTCGAGAAAAACGCGATACGATACGACGTTTGGATACTCCGTTGAAGGAACATCCCCGTCCCCATCCGGAAATCGACAAGAACATCGTGATACGGTAGCAATGTTTCGCCCAGACAGGTGGATGGAGTTGAAGTTTGCTGTCGGCAGAGATTGTACGTGTTTACAGGCAGCCTGTAAGAGGAGGGTCAGCACGAACGAGTAAGAAAATAGATCGCGGAGAGAAGGGAGTAAACGAGAAACAGTAAGAAGTAAGAAGTAAGAAGTAAGAAGTAAGAAGTAAGAAGCAGGAAGTAGGAAGCAAGAAGCAGGGAGTTGACAGACGCTGATCCGGATCCAGTTACCGGCACAGTCGACGTTACAACGAAAAGCAATCCGCCGAATAAAATTGAATCTCGTCGGGAGTCGGGTGTATTTAATGAAAGAGAAGAGAGGAAAAGATCTCACCGTCCGAGATCAAGAGGATCGACCGCATAGAAAAGTGGAGTAGAAGATGAGAGGGGAGAACGGTGGGTGTAGTAAAGGGAGGAAAATAAGTAATCGTCTCCGAGGGAAGACCCCGTCGACGACGAGTACCAGCGTACGAAGGTCCTTTTTCGGCGGGATTTGCTTTCTTCTTGACCCGTTGCCGGCTACCGTCCCCTCCCCCCCGTCGCGGATTCTTTGGTCCTCGAGAGGGCCCTGCAGAAATCCGAAATCGCCCCGGAGACCACTCGAAAATAATCGAATCCAGCGCACGGCTCCTCGAGTGCTCGTATTCCGCCCGTACACGCTTCACCGGCGGTCGACCGGGGGCAAATATTCGAGGGAAAAGTGGCGGATGAAAAGAGAAATATTAGCGCCCGTGAACGATTTGAATGCCGGGCATTGTTCGGTCTTCGCGTCCGGGGAATCACAGGAAATGCCAAAGAGGCCAGTCCACGTCCTGGATGCTCCCGCGACCATTTTCCAACTTCATTTACTCAGACTCTTTCCTCGGCGATAAAGCTGTTTGGAAAAAGCAACGACTTCAATAAATGATTCTGTTTTCCAAGTGTATTTGACGCGTACTATTTCATAAAAGATACTGTTCGTACGCGAGAAGTTGACCAGCGGGACATCAGAGGTTAGAATACTACACTTGCTCCGCCTATTCCCTTTCACTTTCGACGTCTCGGCCAATAACAACGCGCGGTAGGACTGCCAAACCCTAGAGTGGGGGTCCAGGCACCAATCAGACCCGCATTCCTCTCACTAGCCAACTTCTCACCAACCTACAGTACTTTCCTCTTACATTTATCATCAATAACTTTTTTTAAGACCATCTAGAAAGTTTCAAACGATCCAATATACTCTTTTACAGTACCAAATCAACGATATCATTTCCCCAAGTGAAATTCTCCCGCTAAATGATTATTAATCGCGCGGAATTGATAATATTTTCTCGACCTCGCGGGAAACGGCTCGATTTGTGCGTGCTGGGTTTTGATAAAATTTGTTTCGAAAGGGCAGAGCCCCCGCCGCGACTCGTGCAACGCGGCTCGTGGAGGGTCATTCCGTTAATCCCGGAGGGACTTAATTCTGGACCTCCGTAAATCTCGGTTAAGGTTTGTTTGATAGTGTCGGATAGCATCGCCTGCCGGGATTTAACCGAGATACACACCCTCTTCTCTCTTGCCTTCAGCGTGGGCTTCTCGACTTCGCGCTTGTTCTTAAACTCGCAAGTTACCCGTCCCCGGCTGCGTCGACGAAGTTTAATCGATCCTTTGGCCGTGCTCGAGTAACGCGAGCAAATTGATTCCTTTGTCCCGCCGCGCCGTTAACTTTCCCCCCCGCGGGCGTTTATAATTAAAAATCAAGCACCGCGGTTTCATTACAAGCGCCCGGGCATCGGTTACACGGCGATCCAGTTTTCTCGTGTCAATTTGTGGCCGAGCACGCGAAAAGGATCGCTTATTTACGCCTGTCCAGCGAATATTATCCGTGCAAATTTTTTAAATCGATCAAAGCGAGACAAAGATACCGTTTTTTCTGTTTAAATTAACGCCAATACGCCATGGAACCTGAGAAAAATAGAATGAAAATTATTCGTGCAAATATTTTATTTTTAAATTAAAACTGCTATTTAATTCTTCGATAATGCACCAAATATTATCCGTGCAAATTTTTTAAATCAAAGCGAGACAAAGAGACCGTTTTTTCTGTTTAAATTGACGCCAATACGCCATGGAACTTGAGAAAAATAGAACGAAAATTATTCGTTCAAAAATTTTGTATTTAATTCTTCGATAATGTAGCGTAAGCACACATTGCTTGTCAATATATTGCAATATTAATCCCACCACGAACAGTAACCACGGTTCTAAAGCTATCAGAGCAGGGAAATGTATGTTGCAACACCTATTTAGCGGTTTGCTTAAGGTTCAACTCGAAACACATTCAAGTAGGCAACCATATTCGTTCCTACTTAAGTAGACGATTAACGGATGAGAGAATCTATGAACGATTCGATCACACGCTAGAGACACGGGAGGGGCGAAACAAAACAGAGCTTTATGGAAAAGTTTGGGGGCCGGAAACTGAAGTTACTTAAAAACTTTGGTTCGGCGAGCATCGCGTACCGCGTAACGGAGAACATTTTAACAAGATGTCTCCCCGCGAACGAAGAAGCAAAGATTCCTCCGAGAAGTTGGGAACACCAAGGGCAGCTTGTACGATTTATTTAACTTCCCCCTCTCCCCCCACCTTGTGTTCCTTGGCCAGCATCTCGTCGCGCTTTAGCGACTGCTTCCTGGTGTAACTACTTCGCGGACGTAGCAGACTTTTCCGTCTGGCTCGAGTTATTTATCCCGGCAGGGCCCTGAAAGGCCTGTTGCTTCGTTCAGACACAGTTTGACAATGTCGTGGATCGAAATATTCCTTCAATCTATTTCTGACTCTTTGGTAATATTCCGTCGACCATTTTGAGAGTCTGAAGTAGAGTCTCGACGACAGTGAAGAGACTGGAATCGTTCGTTATCCGGACCGCGGTGAAAAAAAAACTTCGAGGAACAGAAATGTCTTCAAAGGCGGAACGAAGTTGCTGTACAATCTATTAGGGCTCGTCATATTGTTCTTGCGGTGGGAAGGGAAAGGACGGGGCGGAATGGAGGGCACGAGTTCAAAGGCAGGAGGAAACGAACCAACGTAGCGTAAAGGGATTTCAATTTCCAATACGATCCGCGAAAAAAGAGGAGAACGGTTGCTCGGAAGACGGAGTCCTCGTCCGCGAAGGAAACGCGATTGCGGGGCACGAATCATCCAGCGTGTTTCGTTCGACGAAATCTGCATCGCGTGGTCGAACGGCGAATGGAAAAATTCCCGGTTTTGTTTAGCGCGCAGCGTGCCGCGGACGCGAGGGAAGAACGGGCCAAAGAGTGATCTAGGGCGGAAAGCGCAAACGAACGTGAAAAGAAATCCGACTAGCTTCCAGGGGTGGCTGTGCATCGCGGAAGACCTACCGTCGTTCGCGGTGGACCGAGCAGGCCAGAAGGTCTGGCTCAAAGGGATTTCCTCTCTTCCAACAATCCTCCGCCTTGCTTCTCCCTCTGCCCACGCATTCTCAAGATTGGTCGATGTCGCTGACTCGATAGCGTGTGCAATAATAGAAACGAGCGTGAAAATCGTAGAACTCCGTTGGAAGGGAGATGAAGGGACAATTTTCTGGTTAAATTAAAGCTAACGTATCGTATAAGGGGAAAAATGTTAACAGTTACACGCTAAGCTTGAGGTTTTCTCTTTTTTATTAACCCTTTGCACTCCGAAGTATATTTAAATCTTGTTACCAGCTGCTCCCAATGCTTTTAAGTGTTTTATTTGAAATTTAAAAAAATATTGTATTTTGTCATTTTTAAGTGTATATCTCTTTGGTGTTTGGACTTGAAAAAATGTCGAGTCACATTCGACATAGGAGTGCAGAGGGTTAAAGTATGTGTGTCGTAGAAGGAGGGAAGAATAGAATGAAAATTATCCCTGCAATTCTTGATCTTGCAATTATGCCCAAATTTCACGTACTTCGAAACTATAAGAATTATTGGCGGACTACGCTGGAATATTCTCAATTCTGTGTAATATTTTCCGATCCAAGGATCGTTTTCTGTATTTCGCGCGAGTGAATTAATGAAATTGACCATCGGGCGTAAGTCGGTGGAACGTTCGTAGTGCGATAAATTGTTGCGCTGGTGGCTGGTATAAACGACCGATGGATCAGCGTGTCAACGGTTTCTCGATGAAAATAGGCTGTCATGCGCGTTCGCGGCACCCAGCGGGGAAACGGTTCAATCGACAAAATGGATTGTCGATAGCTTAATGCGGCTGAAACACGCTTTGTGGATGTAATGCAATTATTTCACGGTGACGCAGAAGTCCGCTCATTAAATCGTGCACGAATCTATGTTAATCGTCGCATTTCTCTGTTATTACGCTGTCAGAGTCACGCTCGAACGCCAGAATTTTAACGATATACCTGCTCGAACGTATTACCTTTGTCCGTGTTACGAAACTATGGCACGATATCTTGAATTTACGAAAATACATTTTTTATGGCACGGATTAAACTTTCGGGCGCAACGTCTGACAGACGATTCGTGATTTACGACTTTATACGCGCAGTGTTTCATAAAACAGGCACTACGTTTCCAATTTTAACTCATCGTTGCATCGTATCGTCGACAATTCTATTACTCGTATCTATTTTTCGACGTTGCGTTCGGAACTCGCGATTAATTCCATGCTAATTGCTGCGTTTTAATAATTATAGTTTGTAAGCAACCTTTAGGTTTGTAATGAATGAGTGCAGTTACATTATGTGAGAGTTTCGATTAAAGGCATTGCTGACTATGTGTGTGTGTTTCGCGTGAAGTATGCATTTAGAAGTTGTTCATTTTATTAGTTAATCGTTTGTTAATAATAATTTAGTTAAAATAAGTATATTATAATAACTATATAAATTTATTAATTTAATATCTATAGTTAATTACAAATATATATCTAGAGTTTGATAATATATAAATATCTATGATTTCATAGAATCGATAGATTACTTATTAATATACAATTCATAATTTATTGATAATAAATTTAATATTTATATGTTACGTTCGAGTCAGCTTTCCGTACAAAAAGGGAAAATATCTAAAATATCTTACAAGTTGTTGTTATTTTCAGGAGTGGAAGCGCCTCCGAGGAACGATTCGGTTCGTTTGGAGCCAGGACCCCTGGTAAACGGCGCTGGTGCGCTTTATGTCGCCGCGACGTGTGCGTGCGCCTTAATATTAGTCGTCGGAAGCGTCGTGAGCGCCTTGTATATTCGCAACAGCAAGGCTCGTATCCAGGAATCGCAGTAAGTGTAATTTTCCACGTATTACCTGAGAATTCTTGGTCATATTCAATTAATTTATTACATCGAACTCGAGTAGCAGTCAAAAAGTTTTATTTTCACGTACAGTGAAGCCTCGATTCTCTCCATGAAATATCGTTCGAACTTTCCACCATGATGGAAAGCTAGAGATTTTTCACCCAAGAAAATTCCGAGATTCAAACATTTTCTAAACGAAGAAGAATCTCAACGATCGTTCTTCGTAATAATAAATATTTGTTCATAATTAATCGACGTTTTACCGTAAATTATGCTCCCTGGATGAAGGGAATCAGACTCGAATGAATCTGATTTTTGACTGTGAAGCGTCGTTTTTGGGCGTTTGTTGGTCGCTGGCTCGTAAGATTCGGCACGGCTGACGTGTTTTCACGTATCGTCAGTCGCGTTCTCAATTCCCGCGAGCAACCGGAGCGAAAAGTCGTGGAAACGCGTTGGCAACCGTCGTGAATCCCCCGTCAGGAACCCACAGGCCGGACCCGGTTTCACCGAAGGGAAGAGACAAAAGGGCGGAGGAAGATTTCTCTACACCCCCGCGGGGTATTCGCGAAGGGGGAGGGATAAGCTGGATAGGAACTCGTCCGCATGAAATATCCTTTCAATAAGCCCCGGTGATCCGTCGGTCGCTTGGCACGGCAGCCGACATTTTATTGCACGGCTACACGCCCCCGTTGAAGAGGACTCCTCCGGGATAGAACCTAAGAAGCAAGATCCGCTGGAAGGGAAACCACTATTCTCTCCTCCCTCGTCCACCCCCCTTTTCTTCCTCCCTCGGCGAGAACCAAGAACACTTGTCTTCTTTGCGGATGTACGCTCGAACCCCGGCTAACTTTAACGCGCGAAATGCTTCCCCTATTTGTACCGATAAACCAAAATGATCGAGTACCTCCATAGACGACTATAGTTCCTAATAAACCCCATTAAACCCTCCACCGTCTTGACAATCCAGACCTTTCGAATATAATCATTTATATTTAGTTGCTTCACTGTTAACGTCCATGTTGCTTGGACGGAGAAAACAAATTTTCCTGTAGACTTTATTTATTTTATCGTTCCAGATCAGCGGCTACGATAATCACGTAGACGTTGCATACATATATACAATGTAATTTACTCTACGCGAAAGCTTGGTATCTTCTTCATCGGCGATCTTATCGTTACTTTATATTCAACAGTCCCTGGACTGCGGAAGTTTGTGCAGCGTATATGCAAAATATTATAAACAAACTATGTTTCAGGTTTTGCATAAATTTCTACAGTCTATTAATAACCTTTCGTTATATTCCATGAGACTTTTAACCATCAATCTATCTAAAACTGCTTAGAAAAAAATTTAATAAAATGAAATGAAAAATCGTGTTTAGAACTTATGGTGGTTGGAAATTTTCAGATGGAATCTCGATTATTTCGGGGCGAAGAGAGCCCCGTTCGTGTGTTACGAGAGAATTTCAGTTTCTTCATCGAGCCCTTACAACCCACTTTATGATGCATACATTATGAACTGCGTCTACTCGAGGAGATCTTGCCCAAAGAGATCCTGGTAAAATAAGATCCAAGACAAAGTTTCGAGAGGGAGGAGGAAACTTTTACCTCCCCCGGCCTTTTTTCTTCCCTTTATTCTACCTTTTATCATCTTTATGCAGACTTGTCATACTCCCTTTGAATATATTAATTCGTCCGGGACTTCCGGCACGCGATTTTATGCACGATTTCCGCGTAAAAGATATAACTCGAGTCCGGTTTATTCTTAATTTCTGTTGTAATTACTGCATTAAACCCCTTGCTCAACGGATCATCCTTCGAAATGGAAATACGCGAATATCATAATATTCGTATGAATAACGTATGAATAACAAAACAGTTTGAAAGAACATCGAGGCAAATAGTGCGCCAAAAAATATTGGAGCGGTCCGTGAAAGGTAAACAAAGCTAGAACAAATATTAATATTTGACAATTCTATATTCTCGTGTTTTCATAGTTTCGAAGATAATATCTATGTTCCAATCTTCGAATAATCAAAATAATCAAACACGAGAATTTTGAATCGTTTTACCCAATCGTGAGCCACCGTTGGAAATAAGTATTACCCGCGAGATATTGCACTCGGAGAACGTTATTCGATTAAAACCCCTTATTAAGTCTAACTCTAATTAAGAGACACTCTGTCGCAATATTCGCATTAAAGCCAAAGTGTACGAGGGATCTACTTAACGACGAGTACAGAATCTCTTGATTCCCTGTGTACATTAATTACACGTTCCCCGGAACCCGAGCCATTTCTGTTCATAACTGTTCGAACGCTTGATAATTCTGAATCGATATAATTACGAAAACGAAATCGAGACACGTGGAACCATAACGTTCCAACATCTCGCGCTTTAAATTGCCTTCGAAGCGGTCGAATCGTCTCTCGACGCAATTAAACCATTTAAATCCTCAAATTACCAGTGGGATCCATTTCTATCTTTCGCGTCCCTGGCTGATGCACTCGGTGCATATAATTGCGTTACTAGAAAATTATTAAAAGAATATTTATTATATTAATAAATTTTACTATGATATTGGAGTCTATTTTCCTCGAAAACGAAACCTGGAATATTACTCTTTCCTTTTGACTTCTATCTTCAGTGAGAACCACCCTTCTTGCTCAGTTGTACCACAAATAACGAAACACCCTGTACATCATTAAATTCAGTAAAAATATACACCTTTATTCCCAAGAAAAATATTAAAATGTCGCAGTAAGGGGATGTGGAGGTTTAATTTTCGTAAATAAATGATGTCTTCGAGAAAATTTTCCCCTTAATTTGTGAGTTACTAGAAGCAACGTAAGGGGTTCGTTTCTCCCTTAAAAGCTGAAATTCCTATAATCAGATTTAGGGTAATCGCCGTTCAGATTGCATGAAAGTGGGCCGAACGATCGAAAATTTTAATATGTCGGTGCTATCGCGAGAAAGAATCTTTATGGCGTGGACATGGGTTGGTTGCAAGTGGCTCCCCGTCCCTCTGTTTTAGGTCGGGTAAGCCACGGCACGGGCCAATTGTCTCTCAAGTGATATATTAGCTCTTTTGAGAGTCTCCAGGCTGATAACGCGCGGGAAAACGAGACTTCTGGATCCTTCTCTGGCCCTTGTTCGTTCCCTCCGGGGGCGAGACTGCAGATTTTACATCCGCTCGCTCGAGTAAACACACAGAGAACATCCTTGCACCCTCGTCCCTGTTACCGCCTCGATCTCGAGGCACAAAGGACGGTTTTGGGGCATAGACGAGGACACGATGCTCTTTGCGGCCGAATGCTCCGTTCGCGTGCTACGATCGAGACGTTTCCCCAAACTCGTTCCTGAATTTTCCATTCGCCATGTTTGCCTTTCTCTGAAACTGAAAAGAAAAACTTGTAATATTTACTAACGCGTGATCTGTGACGATTCAGTTTAAATTAAACAAAAAATCTTTTCACGTGAAATAATTCGTAGCCGATGGCCGTCTGCAGGGGAATCGTTTCTGATATTAAAACGCGCGGAATGTTTGAAATTGTTGGCGCGATACCGCGCGACTGTTTCGCCGGGCTTTTTGGCGGCTCGCGTCTGGTAAATTTACATGCACAAAGCGGCCAATAAACCCGTCGAAATATCGGTACTCGCCATTCCTCGGCGCATTTTGCGCGCGGTATTTCAGTTTTCTCGCCGTTTCACGGCCTCCTCGAGCTCCCATCTCGCCGCTTTCCAGGGCCCTCTCCCGCTCTAATATCGCGCTGCAAAGGGAGAAGAAGACCCTCTTTGAAAATTTTTACCCGCGGGGGCTGAACGGTAATTTCACGCGGTACGAGGACCTTCGACGGAATCGATCAAACGGGATACCGTGGGCGGACGTTATTCGGGGTAACTTCCCGGTATGCGACTTCGAGAAAGAAAAGGGAGATTTTTCGAATTTATGCGAGAGCCCCGTCTCGTCTGGCACCGGAAATGGATAAGTACGATCAGCCAGACGTCTACCCGAACCTGCGGAACTCCTATAATTCGGATATTCAACCGTACCATTTCTCCGCGAGATCAGTCCATGGAACAACTATTTTTCACTTTTCAAACCTTCTAGAAATACGCGTCAAATATGCTACGAGCTAAATTTAACGCGTAGATCGCGTCCATTTAATTTTTCTATCTAAAAGTTTCCTTGTGATTCGTTTCAAAAATTTTTCAGAATTTTTACGAACAAAAATTTATTATATAATTCCAAGTGGAAAGGTTGGTTGAAGATAGGGGTTTGAGGTTCGAGGGAATTGATTTCGAAGATTTATTGGGCCAGCGTGCGATTGAATGCGATTTGGCTGGCGCGTCTGACCAATTACTTACTACTTTCACTTGCACGTCGGACCAGGTCTCGATATTTCTACTTGCGTACTTTGTCTCTTCATTTATCCATGCATTGAATTGCTGCATTGAATTGCTCCGTTTAATTGCAATTTTAATAGCCCTTCGAAAACGTTCGTTATCATCGTCAATAGATAATTATAATCTGTCAAACTATTATATATTAAATTTAGATTAATTTTCGATCCTTCGAGCCAAGATTTTGGATTCCTCCAATGACTATATATATTTTCCAATGTTTCGTTCCCTGTAGAATATACAGAGTGATTTTAGTGGTCGTACCAAGCTTCCTTACAGAATATTTCCAACCTTCTTCGTTTTGCTCAAAGCCTCGGACGTAATTCCTTCGAATAACACGTCGAGCGTTTTTCGCGGGAAACCGTTTCGCGGCTAATACCGCGGCCACGAGATGCAAAAATATTCATAATTTTCAACTCCCCTTAAGCTTTAAAGACTCACTCGCGGCGCATACTTGATTTTCGGTTGAACAAGTTAAAATCACTCGCGAAATACTTTCGTGGGTCTTCGCCGGACTTTTAACCGTCGCGTCTACGCGAATAAGACCGCGGAAGAAAGGGTAATCCCGTACGCGTTACCCAACTGTCCTCCAAAGAAGATGCAAATTTTCGCGGGAACGAAAAAATCCAGGACGCCTTTATAAAGGATAATTTCTCATCGAGAATTATGCGGCCGCGGACCGCAGTTTCGAGTAGTTTCTGAAATATGATCAACGGCCCCCGGTCCTCCCCAACGTCCTCTCGCGCGCTTTTATTACACGGGGAGAGTGCATTCGCTGGTTTTTGTTGAAAGCGCATAATGCTACGCTGCAATGCAACAAATGTCACTCTTCTACGGAAACGCAAACAACCATTTCTTAGGTATTCTGATACGAAGGATGTAATTGTGGATCGTTTCTATGCTCAACTAAACAGAATTTTAAGTCGAGTTGTGCTTAGAAATTAGTCACTTTCCAAATTAGTGTGGAAATCGTTGAGCTCGACGAGAAGCGAGACAGAGAGGCGATTTTCTGGTTAAATTAAAGCTAATGAATCGTAGAACGTGGAGAAAATAGAAAAAATATTATCCTTGCAATTTTGAAATGGACTCCTTTCTAATAGAAATTGTACAAAATTTACTCGACTGGATTTTTGAAAATTTGATAAATATTTATTTCCATTGCATTTCTTCAAATTTCCATCGTTTTATACACCACAATTATGGATGGTTCCAATGTTAAAAAAGGAAATGATTTATCGTGTGAAAGTAACTATTAAATTAGAGTTAAATTAAACCATTGTGTCTTGATGTATCTCGAGCATCGTTGTTAAGAAAACAGCGAAGGACCGATAAGACGGAGGAACGCCGTCGTGGGTGGCGTAACCAGCGAACGCATACCTGTCGCTGGTTATTAGTCATGGTGCAGGGTCGGTGATGCAGCGCGTGTCGTGCATTACAGAAATAATTAACCCCCGTGTATAATCATTACGCGGCTACAGACTCGTCTGTCCTTTCAGGAAAACACTGCCCTGCTGCAGCTATTCAGCGGCAGACACCGGCGGCTTGGCCAGAAGTTCTGTTCTGGTTAGGGTCGACCCACGGCCCGGAAGCGCGAATTCCGGAAGTTACGCGACCATCGCGGACCTGGAGCCACTGTACGCGAGACCCTGCGGTTCCAGAGCGAGTTACTACGCTTCCAGCCATGTGACGCATCTTAGCCAGGTACGGTGGAGAATCATTTCACGCAAACTTCCCCAAGATATTGCATTTAGTACCAGCGGTGAAACACCCGAAGTTCAAACGGGTTTCGAAACACGGGATGTTTGCCAACGCTCAACCGATTACAGCTCACGCGATATCTCTGCTCTCCATTTCGAATTCTAAATCGTCGATCGAAAATATGCCTGGAAGCTTCTATTTTGAATGCAGATCCTCAACCTATTGCTTCTAAACAGTACATTTACAAGAGTGGCGAGAAAACGACGGCCCTGGAAACATGTCGATTGCCAGATCTAAACTGTACAATCTTTCAGAAGATCGAAACTTTGATCTTAGATAATCGTGAACTACATGAATTCAATTTTGTCTTATTATTTAACATTTTTGCTTGAGGATTCTTTAAGTTCCAATGTGGCCCTCCCAAAGTTCTTGCCACCCATATATGCATATGGGCGAGGATAGTAAACAGTGTCTAATGAAAGTACAATAGGTCTTAAAATCGATTCTCTCCATATGAAATTAATTTTTAATATTCGCAAACGTTTAAATTCCCAAGTCTAACAAGGATCTGACAAGAACCTTAAAACTCCACCATATTGAACTCGTTTCTACCAACACCATATCTTTACTATATATTTTCAAATTAAATTTCCAACAAATTACCCAACAAAGTCGCCCAAAACTTGTACAATTATTTTACGATTTTATATTCGCGCTGATATTCCATTCGAACCGCGAGAGTATCAAGAACCGGAGTTATCGAACGAAACGGATCGTTCCAAGTGGTGAAAAAATAAAATCGTGGAGGATTTTTGAAAATGTCGCGACTGTTCGCGATCTCGAGGGCAGTCAGCGAAACAAAGTCGAAGGCAGAGAACACTCGTCTTGCATACCGTGGAATCCGATTTCCTCCTCGTCGTTCGTTCTCTCCCTGGTTCGTCGCAAACTTTCCACCCCCGTCTCCGTTCCGTTGTTCTTTTTTCCTCTTTTCTCCACACCCTGTCGCTTCGTGCGGTATTTCGTGCAAGACGGGAAGCGCGCTCAAAACCTTATCGAATTTGTGGCGGTGGAGGGGGGGACCGCTTTCCACCAACAACTTCCTCGCTCTCTCGCTCTCCCGCGACCCTTTCCAACCCTTCGGCTCTTTATTCAGCTATTCCGGGGACCTGCAACCTCCGAGGCGAACCTACGCTGTCCAGGAGAAACCAGTACACGTGTAACGTCCCCCTCTTGGTCCTTTTTCTTTCTTGTTGCTTTCCTCGACCACTCCCTCTCTTCGAGAAACTTGCGACGTGGACCTTTCTAGTCGAGGAAACGTATGGTTCTTGGTTCGTTGCGTGAGTAATAATAGAGGTCTGGGTTAGCGTTACGGGGCTATATTTTTAACACTGGATCCTCGAGTCGGCGTTTTTAATTCCATTTTTTGTTGAGAATGTTTTGCCCCCTTCGTTGTTCATCGTTCAAAGATACACAGAAAATTGTAAAAAATGTAGGAGTTATATAGTGACTGTAGAAAAAGATTTTAGACTTTACAACGCTATAAAGTTGAAAAAATAAGTGAATTGATGATTTAACGAATTTGTTAATATTGTAATAAGGATCTATACAACCCCTATGTCAAAGAACATTGTTTAAAATGAAAAATATCGGTAGTTAATTATTATTTACGCCTGCGGTGAATATTAAATATTTTTTCAGCTGTCGAAATATAACTTGTATATCGGTAATCCGGTCGATTTACAATTTTCATCGATGGAGAGGAAACTGGCACGGAGAAACGAATATAGAGGGTCGTGCTTTACTTTTTTCCAACCTTTTTACCCTCCTCGTGTTCTCCATTGAAGAACACGATCCCTCTATTCGCCTCTATCGCTGCTTTCGAGCGGAGCACGCCCCGGTCGGTTGATCTTTTCGCTCGCTCGGTATTCAAATTTCAATAGATCGTGCTAAATCGAATACTACCGGCGCAAAAATATTCGTGCAACTGCACAATTCTCCCATTTATTCTGTCTAATTAAAATAAACGAAAAGAATGTATTACCGTTGGGTGTTGTACATTTTCCAGTTAATATATCGACTGCCTTGGTGGTCACCGGTGACCGGCCCTATCAACTTACAAAGCGTTGCAATATTGTTTATAATGGAACAATCCTGATACTTGTAGAATTATAAAACTTCATCAATGAAGCTGTTCTTTTTTTTCTTTCTTAATATATGTTTATTCACACGTTGATCGCCACGGTGGTCACCGGTGACCGACACTTTGATTTTAAGTGTTGCTTAACGCTGCTTTAATTAGGAATGCTGTAATTGAATCATCGAATATTCCTATGTTTTACACTGTGAGGCAACCATCCTCATTTTTTTTCTTAATATATGTTTATTCACGTGTTGATTACCACGGTGGTCACCGGTGACCGACACTTTGATCTTACGCGTTGCTTAACCCTGCTTTAATTAGGAATTCTGTAAAGTAACACACCATTGAATCATCGAATATTCCTATGTTTTACACTGTGATTTTAACAAATGTCGAATACATCCTTAAACGTGAAAAACTAGCGTTTCAGTCAACGTGTTAACGATAGAAATTTTATATTCAGCAATTACATTTAAATTAAAGACAATTCTGATATAAAAATATTCAGAAATAACTCGAGTTGATAAAATGAATGCATTCTTGAAATGAAAATACCAATGAATATACCTAATAACGCCTTCTTCGAGGGGATGAGAAACACAAAGATCACGAAAATATGGAATAAATATGACCATGTGGCTTTGTCGAATAAAGTGAGACCGGCCACGAAACTGATCGTTCCACGTTAATTCCCCCGGGAAAAAAGAAATGGTGCGTGATATCACCTGGGCTGAAGGCATTCAAAGACGAAGTCGAGGCAGGGGAGGTTACACACGCGGTTACCTTCCTCCTTCTGGGCAACCCTCCGCAAAACCATAGAGTAAGAGGGAGGCTGAAAGGCGGAGGGAAGGAAGAGGGGTAACTGGGAGTGAGTCCTGTGATTGTTTCGGCTTTGATCTTGGATCAATTTACCGGGTATACGCGTATGCTTGAACCCTTCGCGGCGTCGTCTGAAACGCCACCCTCGAGCCGGGCGGACTCCGTGCACCGACACGGAGAAACACACGGACCCGAAGTGTTTATACAAACGCAAACCACGCACGTCAAGACGCGAGCTGGGGCTGATCTTAAAATGTTTGCGCAGACTCTAAGAGCTTGCGGTTCTAATCGCGCCCGACAATATTACTTGGAGACTTTCACCCTGTGCCCGACGATTAGATGAATTATATTCTTGATAAACCTTTTGGGGTTGTTCGAATTACTGATCAAATCGATCGTTTAATTATTGACTAGTATTAACGTCTATTGCGAGGGTGATTAACTGTTATTATTATGCATTTATGAGTGAGGGACAGAATGCACTTAATATGCAAAAATATTAGAAATAGGTAAGATACGAATTATTGTGTTTAGGGGTTGAAACAATCATCTACATTTCTTTGATTCTATTAATGAAAATTAACGAATTGCATCGTAATGCATACTTTTATAATAGAAACTTAGTAATATTAATTCTTCAATATTTATGATACAAGCTAGAAAGGGGATGTGATTTAATGTAAAAAACTAAGTCTGAAACGAAGAATAAAATTTGTTCGTACCGTGCTTGGTTTTGCAGATAAATGAATACGAATTAATTGGCGCGTCCGACCATTCGTCGTTTTTTCTACTTGCGCGTCTGACCATTCGTAGTTCTTTCTACTAGCGCTGAGGAAACTCGATTCTCTCGAAAAACGAAGCCCAGTACGAACGAATTTTATACCAAAACAGACATTGTTACGTCTGTATATTTTTTATCAGCAATATCAGCTTGTATAAACGTAACCACAAATTTTACGGAAACTTGGCTATCGCTGTTGCTACGTTTCATCCCTTCTTGCTCGTTTTCGCGTCGCCTTCGAACTCACCCAGTCATGTAATCCGGGAACGTCTTATCCCTCCTGTAAAACGATACGCTTGAGATCCCATTGCTGAAGAAGAAGTCATTACTGTTCCTGTCTACCGGAGATCTTCAGCGCCGAGAACAAACGCGTTTCGCTCCTGATTTTCCCGATAGACGCCCAACGCCGTCCATTCTGTCGCCAAAACGAGACGTCTCCTGGTTTCGAAGGCTCTCGAAAATAGCACTTCGTTGAAAACAAATTTTGAATCTTTTTGGTTAGACGACAATCGTTATTTACGACTGAAATGTTTGATGTTTTGTGTCGACAACACGATATACTCAAGCGTCTGCAGGAATTGTTTCGAGACCTTATTTCTAGATAAGAAATAAGGTCTGACGATTAATTCATGTAAAATATGGCTACGTTCTAGAAAGCGTAGTTTTAAATTATTTAAACAACTCGTGCTCCTGTTCACAGAAGTTCTAGAGGGAATTATGGAATAGTATATATTCTGTAACAGGGATAGCATTAACAAGCTCTACACATATTTCGCACGCTATAATCTAAGGACTAATGGATCGAACTGCTGAAAGACTATATTCTAGAGCACGTTAACGTTAACAACCGATCACCCTGGACTGAAGATTAAACCTAGAGAACAGGGTACGACGACCTTTTCAACGCACCACGTATGTTTAAACTCCCACGCCGCACCGTACGAACCAGTCGAACGTGGCTCGTTTCTAAATCGATTCTAAACAGTGTTCTTGCTCCCAAAATGAAGCAGACTGTGCTAAGAATATCGCTTAATTGGACTTTCGATATTTTTCTGGTCGAATCAAATATTGGAATTTTAGACAATTAAAAATGTTAGTTTTGGGTCGTAAAGTTGTACCTTTTAATGTTAAATAAATACATAAAAATACCAGAACGTCGAGTAACGAAATTTCTGTTGGATCGAAAGTGGAGCCAAGTAGTGTTGGTCGTTGAAGGTTTAATGGATTCCCGTCTGTCGTCGATCTTGGTCCACGAACGGTTCAATCGAGTTAAATCGAAAACTGTATTATTAATTCCGTGGATCGCGTGGAAAGTTGACGGTGGATCGGCTCTTAGCGCGCCGCTGGGGGTCCGGTTGTCCCGAAAATGAAGCTTTTAAAGTGCCCGGCCCGGTAAAACAAACGGTCGGTGTTTGACGAGACCCTCTCGCTAAATAAATCGAATTGCTGGTTCGTGCGCATCCGGCAAAAAGTTCGTTCCCGGCGCCGTTAAATCAATAGCGCGATTGTGATTGTATAAAAGCGATTCGTCAGTCTACATTCATTACAACAAAAACATTCGACGCCGGTTGGATTTCGCTCCCCCCATTCATTTTACGCGGCAATTACGAATCTGTTTCTTCTGCTTCTCATTTTTTTATTTTCCGTCTTCTTTTTTAACTAGTGCCAACGCGCGTCGTTAATTATGCAACGAACGTTGCCACGATCGCCCGGGGGCGGAGGAGGGCAGCTTTATTTTTCCGTCTGTCGACGAACGATAGCGTTGTAATCAATGGCGGCGAACAAACACTCGTCGAACGATAGCGATCGACATCGAGTCGCATTTATTAGTCATTTTCTGTTACCGCGGTTGGCGCTTAGCGTTTTAGTTACTATTTCCATAGTTCTTCAAAGCTACAAAGAACCCTCTGTTTACAATATAAGATAATTGAAATTAAATATTCTGTTTTCTGGAAATTTATTTAAATGGACGTTTTTATCGTTCGAAATTCTTGGTATTATATTGTCAATTATTTTATAAATTTTTCGATTAAACTCTCACAATCAGAAAAGACTCTCTAAGAATAGCTCGTTTGAGTAGGAATATTTTTTAATTTTAAAAAATAACATCAGTGAAAATGTCGAATTGTTCCCGACGCTTGTATCAACGAACGTAGTGACAAGAATCAAAGGTTGAGAGGAACAAGATGGATTCTCGCGAAGGGAGAAGAGAAATGAGAAACGGGAGAAAAAACGTACTAGAGGAAGGTAGGCGTCGACGACGAAAGCCGGGAAACGCAGAGCGGGGGAAGAAAAGCTGCTTGAAAACGGAGGTTTTTTTTTTACGACAGCGTAAATAAGTACGGCGTTGAAAATCGCCTGCGTAATAATTACAGTGTCCGATAAGCCGTGGTATTAGCATTTGCATTCTCACCAAATGCTACTGTAATCCTTGCTTGCATGTTCTCGAATCGGTTCCGCTCGCTTCCATGCGTTCAAAGAGGGTACATGGCTTCAACCCTTTTGTATCTTAAACCCGAGACCTCGCGTGTGCATTAGCTTAAAAGGGAACTTGAATTTTAATAAATTGTTTCGCCTTTTTCTGAAAATTCTGCATAGCTTTAGAGATATAAGTATTCTTCTATTAGAAACCTTTATAAATATCAAATTTTGAGGAATGGTTTGTTCGTTGAATCTCAATACTCCCATAATTATAAATTCTAAAGTTTTTAGAAATTAAAGGTACCTGAAATTTGTATTTTTATTCAGAAATATCTTCCAAGTTTAATAACAGTGAAGATCTCGACGCGTATTCCTTTAGGATCGTCAAAGGGAAACAATAGTCAAGTTTCAGGTCTGTCAAATACGGTTTCACAAACTTGTACCAGGAAATATTAGTTTAGATGACGCACCGCGTTCCGGAGCGATCAAAGGCAATAGATAAATATGATTTACGAACAGCAATTGCCGTAAATCGTCCTATCGCTACTAGATAGCTCTCAATTAAGTTTAACGTTTCCCAAACATATATCGCTGAATCGCTTGTATCGACCAAGTTTCGCATTTACTCTACGAAGAAAATAATTTTCTCTTCGTTATTTACCTAATATATATTCTTATACCTGGAGTCATCTCACCAGGTTTATTTATTTTTTTAAAACCAAACATTATACGTTCTTAGTTTTCACCTTATAATTATAATTGAATATGAATTTATTAGCTTTATAAATATATTTTTGTATTTTGTATTTAGCTGTCCTTGACCGTCGTATTTCATTTCCGGGCGTTAATGCGTTTCGCGGACTGATTTTCGGGGGCTGAGATTTTTTTCTCCGTAGGATCTTGTGCGCGTGCGCGAGAAGCAGGGGACGCGCACGGAGAGCGACGCGTACGCGTAGGCGCGTGCAAATAGAATGGGAGGGGCTGTAGGCAAAACTCCGGAAAATTGAAATTAATGAATAACCGAGCCTTTTGCTGGCTCCCGCTTCGAAGGCTTTCCCCCCGCAGCTTCCCAGACGCGGGAACCGGCGGAAAACCGACGAGGAACAAAGGGGAACAACGCCGCCACGACGAGAACGACGGAAGCGGTAGCTGGAAGGAGGAGAGGAGAGGGTTCTTGGTGGTCCTTTTTTTCTCTTCTCGTCCTTCGGGGACCTCGCGGAGAGCTCCTTCGCTCGTCGTCCTGTTGCAGGCGACAAATACTTTTTTAATGAGTTCCCCCCACCCTACGAAGTTTATAAATTATGCACAGACCGAGTGTGTGCGTGACGATTCGGCTGCACAAACTCTAACTCTGCTAGCAAGTTGAGATATTTGATACTTTTGAGACACTAGGTGATCGAATCGAGGAGCGTATATGTATCAATAAGTGCTCGATCGAGTGCTTGTGAGAGAGACAAGTTGAACGTGGCCCTCTGCTGACGAGCACAGGAAGTATCGCCACAATAACGATTAATGTTTTACGGTGTATGAAATTCTTTTCTCGAAGGACATGATTTACATCTAGAAGTCTTAACCAACCGTTGGTGAATTATTTGATGATTCTTATGGTGTTTACAAGCGTTTATTTCGATGCATCGATATTGTATCCTGTTAATTTCTAGTCGACCGATCCGTGCGAGAAGGCCAGGGCGCTAGCTGTGTCGAGGTCGGCATTATACTGTCGCAATCTCGTGCAGGAGGGCACGTTCGGCCGCGTTTACAAAGGCACAATGGAGCTGGCTGGCCGGGAACAGGAAGTCATCATAAAGACAGTGACAGGTATTTCGACATCACTCTATATGTATATGGAACTTAATTAAAATTATAAAAATTCTAGTCTCCGGAAATTGCATCCAAAGTATGTTATTTGACTCCTGTGACTCCCATATAACTGTATTAGTGATTTGTTTAATGCAGTTCAAATGTAATAAACTATCGTTTAAACACAGACGAGGTATACGAATAGACCTTTCACCTTATAGACTTTCGCGATCCAATCTGACTGCCATACTTACCTGAAAATTCAGAGATGATTTCAACGTCCTCTTCTCATAGATGGCGGTCAGTTTAGAAACTATTCACTGAATTAGTATATTTATAGACAGACAGCTGTAGTGTATACGTAAATACATGTATGTTGACTATGGGGAGGGGATTGAAATTCATTACTAAATCTATTGGTAACCTTGCGAGTAGCACGAAAATGGTTTCGAGATCCCATAAAAATGAGTCGAAAAAATACAATGGGTCTAAAGTCTGCTCGTATACCTCGTCTGCGGTTTAAATAATAACTACATTCCCGCGCTGCAAAAGACTGCGTCACTACCTACGATAAAACGTCCAAGTTTGCCGAGAAATGGTTTCCCTTCGTCGACGCTAGATAGCGCCTCGGCCATGTGTGCTCGAGAATATTATTAATATAAAAACATATTGCATACACTTGCAACGAATGCATAAATGTATTTTAAGATACCGTTATAAGATGGTTCACGAGCGTGGGTTGTAAACCCTGCACCTATATTTTATTCATCAATTGAGTCATTATAATTCTTATATACCTCGTAATTGGATCTATTTGATTTTATTAATGAATACAATACAATGTATGCAAAGCATTAAGTGATACTTGAAGGGGCGAGGAAGAATCGGTAATAATATCGATAGTAATCGATTACAAATACTCGACGCGCCATCTAGCGTCGAAGACAGCCAACTATCTCGACAAACTTGAACGCTCCTAGATGACGGCGTAAGCGTTCGTATATCAGCGCATTCTTTTTTGTTATAAACATAAACCATAGACTCTTTATTAAATAGACCGACGTATATAATCTCAAATTAATGTATATTAGGCTTAATACGATATGAAACTATGCTACGGTTCAGTCGCGTGGAACCGATTCGGTCGAAATCGGCCATGCAGAACGGAAACTGATGTGTTCGGTCGCGTGGAACCGATGCAAACTGTAGGGATCGGTCATGCGAAACGAAAATCGTCATGTTCGAACACGCGTTTACAGATTTTAGTGGTTCAAATTGACTGTAAGTCGCGCGATGAGCAAACTAATTCGTGACACCAACTTCCATAATATGCATGGTCTATGCACATCAAATTAATTACGATCGCAAAGGACTTGAAAAAGGTTTCGATCGAAGCTCTGTCGTTAGTTCGAGTGTTTCCCGCGCGCAAGGGGGCGGAAGTCACGTCGAACTGACGCGGTATATTTGAAATTTCAGAAGTGGCGTCGACTTATCAGGCCTCTTTGCTGGTGGTGGAGGGCTCGCAATTGGCGGGGTTAGTGCACGCAAACATAGCTTCGCTAGCAGCCGCCTGCCTGGACAGTTCCTGCCCGTTATTGGCGTACATGAGTACGACTGGCGAGCTGAATTTAAAGTTGTACCTCACCGACGGGAACCACCATCCTGTGACCAGGGATCTCGTGCACGTTGGCGCGCAGGTTGCCAGGGCAGGGGCATTCATGCACGGTCGAGGGCTTCTACACAGGTGATTACCTTTATCTCTCCACGCGGTGCACTTGACCGAATCAATTGGACTGCTTCCTGGAGGAAAGAGTCTAGTCGAGCAATTTTTCAGCAAATATTCGATCGTTGGAATCGTGGTTGAAACGCATCAAAACTTTATTCAATCTAAATACCAAGGATAATATAATTTAGAATATTCAGACACATCCACTCGTACAGTCCTGCAACTTTATTTTTTTTTCTCTATATCGAGGTCCTAAGTTCGTAGTTTGAGTTTGGTAATTAAATTTTTGTATAATTATGAATTTTTGTATGGATTTTTCAGGGACATCGCTGCCAGAAATTGCCTGATCGAGCCATGCAGTCTTCGCGTGCGATTAGCCGACACTGCATTGGCGCGAGACCTTTTCCCTCAGGATTACCATTGTCTGGGCGATAACGAAAACAGACCCATTCGTTGGATGGCCTTGGAAACACTCCAGCACAATCAGTACAGCACGGCAACGGACGTGGTACGGTCATAATTTTTACCGAGCCCCAATAAAGTTTTGACACTTTACTATCTGCCAGGGACAACGACCGATCGGATTCCAATAAAATTCGGTGACAAACGCGGCTATTCGCCATACGGAATCGACGCGTGGGCGCAATCCATCAGATTTTCACGCGTGACGCTTTACCGAATTGCTCGGGACCGGATCGATGCCCTAAGCACGGTCCAAACAATGATTAACACGATCATTGCCAGATCAAAACCATACAATATTCCGCAAGATTAGAATTTTGATTTTAGACCAACTACTTTGTTACTTTCGCAAGCTAACATTCACAAATCCTTTCCAAATTTATTGCTCTCGACATCTCAACTTCAGAATGAATTTTTCTTAAATTTATTAAACATCAAAAACGAATTTTCAAGGATAATCGATAGGTGGGCAAACTCGACGAAATTAAAAAATTTCAAATCATTCCGGAAAAATTATTTTTAGTTGGAGGGGTCTATTACAATCATTTTTGGTGAATAGACATACCCCCGAAATCTTACGCACTTTCGAGAAAAAAATTTCGGAAGGTGGACCAATTTTGCGACGAAATTAAAAAATTTCAAATCATTCTGGAAAAATTATTTTTAGTTGGAAGAGTCTATTACAATCATTTTTGGTGAATAGACATATCCCAGAAATCCTACGCACTTTCGAGAAAAAAATTCCGGAATGTGGACCAATTTTGCGACGAAATTAAAAAATTTCAAATCATTCTGGAAAAATTATTTTTAGTTGGAAGAGTCTATTACAATCATTTTTGGTGAATAGACATATCCCAGAAATCCTACGCACTTTCGAGAAAAAAATTCCGGAATGTGGACCAATTTTGCGACGAAATTAAAAAATTTCAAATCATTCTGGAAAAATTATTTTTAGTTGCAGGTGTCTATTACAATCATTTTTTGTGAATAGACATACCCCCGAAATCCTACACACTTTCGAGAAAAAAATTCGAGTAGAAGCAGAAATTTTTTGACGAAATTAAAAAATTTCAAATCATTCTGAAAAAATTATTTTTATTTACAGAGGTCTATTACAATCATTTTTGGTGAATAGACATACCCACGAATTCCTACTCACTTTCGAGAAAAAAAATTCTTTAGCAAAAATACAATCTGTGCCCAGAAATGTTTTATAAATTCCTTTACTCACTTTAGAGTGTCTTTTCTATTTCCCTACGTTTAAGGATTCTTTGTTATTTTTTTACATGTCACACGAGGGTTTATTTTGAGAAAAAAAGAAGAGATGACTGCCTTACTGATGAGTTTTTTAATATTTTCAGTGGTCGTTTGGCGTGTTTCTGTGGGAGCTGGCGACTCTGGGTCAGCAACCGTACGTCGAAGTGGACCCGTTCGAAATGATGGCGTGTCTTCGCGATGGCTATCGATTGGTCCAACCTAGACCGTGCCCCGACGAACTTTTCGCCGTGATGGCCGTCTGTTGGCTAGGTCTTTCCAGGGACCGACCGACCATGCCTCAGCTTCTCGCCTACTTGCAAGACTTCCACGACGCCCTCGGCGGATTCATATAAACAAAAACGTTCCGCGATGTTCCATAAAATGTACTAACTATTAAGCGTTCGAACGACGTTGCGTGAAATGTTTACGAAACGACAAACAACTCCAGAGAAGAAGAGAGACTCTCGACAACCGGATTATCCGAACCAACGAATGCAACGAGGAGAAAAACACTTTCGTAAAGTGTCACGAGCACGCGTTGTTCCGGTGGTCCCGGTATAACGAACGTAGAAACCCTAAAAAAGTCACACGAAACCGAGAAGAGAAGAAAAGCACTGCCCATTTGCGATTATATTGATTGTAGGCGACAATACTCGACGCGTTTCGTTTTCGAAATTCCGTTTCGAGGGCATCGGAGAATCAAAACAAGGGAAGATCGACGCGAATGCATCCGTCCATAGCAGTTAACCAAAGAGGGGGGGAAAAAAAGAAACACTTTGAAGCGCACAACGTTTTTTTATAGCTTTGACAGGTAAACGCGTACGCGGCTGGAAATCGCGACGACGCCCGCGACGCTGCAACCGACGCTGCTGCTCGCGCGTACCGGGCTGGCATTCCCCAGGCGTGTCTCGAGAACGCTTTTTCAGAACACGCGAAACAGAAAACGAAAGAGAGTACCTCTGCTTGCAAAGTGTAAAGCTGACGCGATCGTGAGTTGAGAATCTTAAGTGAAAATGTATTTCTCCTTATCAAAAATACTCTTGTAACTTTCCATGCATGGACCGTAAAATATCCTGATTATCGGAGCTTCGAAATCGTGTGAAAAATTTCTGAAAGCTTGCTCGAGATTCTTAACACGGTAGCAGTTTGCTTGTGCAAGCATCGATGTCACTTTGGACACCTGGAAAAGGCGACGAAAAATTTCTATAGCAATAAACGTTCTGCCTTCTATTCTAAAGTCCGTGCATCGCCATCCGTGTTACGTAATAGTTTTAAAAGAGCTATCGAATGTTTGTCCACCGTAAAATGACAATTTTGTAATTATCGAGAATATTGTTCGGAACGAAAATCGCGAAGATTTCCAAACAGGTTCGATAGTTTTTTAAAAAGAGATTTCCAAACGTCTGTCAATTCGTAGAGCCCCGATCTAAGCTGGATCCTTTGATTCGACGTTGGCTCGGTGATTTCGATCGAATCGACGATCACTTTCGACGAGTTCCGAGCCACTTCCTGCCCACCTGACCGCGCGAAAGGCTGTTTAATAGTTATTTAGCGACGAATCACGAAGGTGATCCGTAAGTGGAACGACGGAGAGAGCAAAATCAAAGCTCGGAACACGTAGAAATCTTTATTGTCGTGTCTGACCTTCGGTAGGCATATGCTGTTGCGTAAATGGGCGGTCGAACTGTACGTACTCATAGTTATGTATCTATTAGCCACACCGCGCAAGTCACTTTAAATATCCACGTCTCGCGTCAGGTTGCACGAATTATGCAAGTTCGCGACGTCGTGGTTTTCGCTGAGCATTTAACCCTTCGCGATCCGAGTATGTTCCTTCCTGCTACGCGTCGAGTAAGTCCTAGCACACGTCGTTTACCTCTTTCTACCATTATCGACACATTTTGTTTTCAATCGTCACTCTCGATCGCGACGCAACGTTCCGGGTATTATTATTCGCCTCCATCGTAACATATTTTTCACTATTTTTCCCCCCTATTACGGACGTAATAATTTATTTCGATAACAACGTATCGTACGTTCAACGAACATTCGGTTTCACCAAGGTACGTGTCCCGGTCGTATCTAATCTCGACTTTCGTTAATCGCACGAATAACGACATAGTAATTGTACGAACACGAGCGAATCAAAGGGAACAAAATAAATATAAAAAATTGAAAAAATGTGATAATAGAACGCGGACGAGGTAAATATCAAAATGTGAATAGGAGAACAGCAAAAATATCATGGAGGTTTTTAATAATCGTAATCAATCGACAGTGTCGACGATCGAATCAGTGTCGAAATTAGGTGCATCGTATCGCGTAACGAAGCGTCGATATTATTGAAAATGACTTTCCAGCAACACTGCGTTCGACGCGAGACTAATCAAAAGGACAATGTGTCGAGTGTGTCGGAAGACCGTATGGGATTAATCAAAAGCAAAGGTTCGAACGAGTCCTGTTCGTGTATATTTTGTGTCTTAAATTTGGGCTGCTTTTCGAATCGACCGATCGATCGATCAGACGCCGGAAAGAGTGATACGGAGCGCTTCGAAGCTCTCGAAGCGGAGGAAATTCATGAAAAGACGCGAGATGACGCAACGCACACGTTTTAAATGTATCTCGATGTGTAAATGTCGCATGTTCCTGACTACGACCATTAACTTTATCGCACTCTCTCTCTCTCTCTCTCTCTCTCTCTCTCTTTTTCGTCCCTACTCCCCTCAACTCCCATTTACGACTATAACTTCGACATTTATAATCGAAAGCCGAATCTACGGCCTCGACTTCGTAACTATCGCTACGAGCATTCCACTATTAATAATTAATATTACTATTTAAAAGTAAACTATCGCTCGCCACTATTTATTACGACGTCCTAAGAGTTCACTTATTTCGCGAGATCGTCGTCTCTATGATATGTCCGGTATTCGTTAATTCGTTGGATGTCTTTTTTACGATAATTAATGGAGGAACAGGGTAGGCTAGCGCTGCACACTTTTTCGCTATCGCATGTACAATTGGAAAAATGCCTCGTCTTTTCACCGCCATGTTGCCCCGCCCCCCTTATACTATCTTTCCCCCCTACTTCTACGAGAGGTTCTACGCACGAAAAAAAAAATCCCCCCGGCGGAGGAGAGCCTCGATCCCGCCAAACTACCCCTTCGAACGCAACCAAAGACCTCATCGAGAGACAGTTCCAGTCACTGTAAATATCTCTAGCGAATAATAGTGGTGCGCCGAGTGAGTTGATTTGTGCAGATTCTATTATTTCCTACGACGATTTATGGCATTATTTTTCAACGGAAAGTGAAATATACGTGTTAAAAAAAGGAAAAGAGAAGGGCGTGTGCCGGTGTCTTTTTTATACCCTCTCGTAATATACTCCTGAAACACCTCGGAAGTCCTGAAACTCAGAATTTTGCTAAAAATTCAGGGTTTTCAAGAATTTTCGGCGTTTCCAAGAAATTCCAGGACTTCCCAGTTGTTTCAGGGCTTTCCAGCTGTTTCAGGACTTTCCAGCTGTTTCAGGTATTTCCAGCTGTTTCAGGACTTCCCAGCTGTTTCAGATCTTTCCCGTTGTTTCAGGACTTTCCAGCTGTTTCGGCATTTCCAAAATTCCAAGGGGTTTCAGGACTTTCCAGCTGTTTCAGGACTTTCCGGCTGTTTCAGGACTTTCCAGCTGTTTCAGGACTTTCCAGTTGTTTCAGGACTTTCCCGTTGTTTCAGGACTTTCCAGCTGGTTCGAGATTTCCAAAATTCCAAGGAGTTTCAGGACTTTCCAGCTGTTTCAGGTCTTTCCAGCTGTTTCAGGGCTTTCCAGTTGTTTCAGGACTTTCCAGTTGTTTCAGGACTTTCCAGCTGTTTCAGGACTTTCCTTTTGTTTCAGGACTTTTTGACGAAAAATTTAAAAGTTAATTTTTGATTTTGGCAGCAAGTACGAGAGCTGGACAATTTGGGAATCCAATTTTAACCGGAAAAACGGTCTCTTAAAACTAAGGCAATGATTTGGAGAGGAAAAGAAAGGTAAAAATGATGAGAACACATAGAATTCTGTTAAATTATATCATTTATTGCCATAGATTTACATTATACAAGGCTTGAATACTTATACATCGTGTCAGAAGTTGATAACAAAGGTCAGCAGTGGTCAGCAGTGGTCAGCAGTGGTCGGCAGGGGCCAACAGAGGCCAGCAGAGGGATGCAGAGGCATGCAGAGACCAGCAGTAACAAGTAGTAATAGTTATACGTTGTCAGAAGTACCAGGTGTGGTCAGCAGTGGTCAGCAGGGGTCAGCAGGGGACAGCAGAGGCATGCAGAGACCAGCAGGGGTCAGCAGGGGCTAGCAGGGGCCATCAGGGGACAGCAGAGGCCTGCAGAGGCAAGCAGAGGCAAGCAGAGACCAGCAGGGGCAAGCAGTGACAAGCAGAGACTAGCAGGGGCAAGAAATAGCAAGTTATAATCGTTATGCGTTGTCAGAAGTATGAGGAATGGTCAGCAGAAGCCAGCGGAGGCAAGCAAAATACCGTAGTAATCGTGTTAAGTTGTCAGAAATATAAGCTGTGGTCAGCAGAAGTCTGCAGAAGTCAGCAGAAGCCAGCAGAGGCTGGGAGAAGCTGGCAGTAGCCAGTAGTAATCGTTATACGTTGTCGGAAGGATGAAGAGTGGTTATCAGTGGTCAGCTGGGGCCAGCAGAGGCAGACAGAAGCTCGCACATACTGGCAGGGTTTAGCAGAGGCCAGCAGAGGCTGGGAGAGACTGGCAGTAGCCAGTAGTAGTGGTTATACGTTGCCAGATATATCAGAAGTGATATCTGAAATAATATACGTATGTACGGTCATACATAGGAATAATGAAAATGAATTTCTTTTCGTATGCCGTTGACGGGAGGTCGTCAAATGTGAGCCTACCTCTCTCGACTCCCACGAGACGGTCCGAAATTGCTTCGGGCAGCTTCGGAGAATCGAGAAAGAGGGCATGTGTCAGTTTGCCTTTGTCGACTTTCCGAAACTCCACGAGCTCACGTACGCGTGATCTAGTATAGTGTGAGAAAGTGGAATGAAATGTCCACGGTGCACCCGTTGCACTTGCGCGATCATCGGGTTGCCTGTCACCAGGGGTGCTTCGATTCACTACAATTCGTCGAAACCCAATTCGTGGGCGTCGCAGAAACTGTATTATCTTTTCGAATCCTGTATTGGAAATTAGTGAATGCAGCTGTTAACGCGGGAAACTGTTTTCTTATACCGTTAACTAATTTTAATCGTATCTTACTGAATCCTCTAACTCTTTAAGCTCGCTAAAAATGTTCTCCCGTTCCAAATTATTCTGATAATAGTTATATTCGAGGAATGGTATTGAAATTGTGAATATTTGCCGAATGCCCCGACGATAAGGTACCCGAAGCGTCCGAATGGCGTTCCGCGTGCGTGCTCGTTAAGAAACGCTGGAAGAAATAATTATTTGAGGCGTGCAATCGTTTTGTCCCGGCGCTGTAGATCTGCGCGGCGATCGGTGTTCTCCAAAGAGCGCAAAGGTACCGTAGGAGCGCGTTGGTAGGAGACCCTTTCTAAAATCGCGGGAGTCGGCCGGAAGCGGTACGAGAGGGCCCAGAAGGTGAAACGAGGAACGATCGCGAGCTGGTGGGGCAGCGGGAGGAGGACAGAGCGAGAGAACACGAACGAGAAAAAGGAGGGCCAGACCCGTGGCTAAATGGTGGGGTACGCACTATTTCCTAATCCAAGCGAGAGAGAAGCGAGAGCCGAGCCAACCGACCAACGAAAATGAAAGTGACGGAGAAAGTTGGGGCATTGTTACGAAGCGTAAAGCCCGGCGTGCGACGACGTTGTACCGCGGCTCTGAAACGATCGTTGCTTTTCGATTACGCGTGGGCACCGTCTACACCGGCCGGTTTCCAAACTTTTTCGGGCCCGTCCACGCCCCCCTACTTAAAATTAACAGGGAACAACGCGTCACCATTATCCTCCAACGCATCGTTTCAATACCATCCTCGTCCATTTTCTTCTTGAAACAAATATTCCTTTTAGGTGGCGAAATAAATCAGGTTTCCATCGAAACAATTTGTATTTTATTTTTTATTTTGACATGGACCGTGATAAAATCAATTTCAGTAAAATCTGAGAAATTTTCGGAGTAAACTAACGCTTTATTTAATATTTGTTTTATTTATAGCGCACCTCGTTCAAATTTTTACGAATTTTTTAATTTTCGGTTAAGGATATGCATCAAGGACAGCCTAACGCTCAAAGATTTCTAAATTATCGGCCGCTTCTATTGCGAAACCCGTTGCTCCACGCGAGAAATTCTGTCAACTAGTAGAAATTCTCTTTCTCGTACGTTTTTTCGCAATTTTTTAACGCTAGATACATTTATAACAAATATGAGACATCACGCTGAA